ATATTCAAACTTCGAAAGAAAAGAGGAAGTTGATATCTTCAACCTCAAAAATTTATGCAGATGGAATGTTTTTGTGTAAAATACTGATGGTTTCTAACCAGTCTGAATTTCATTGTAATTGCATGACTAATCACTTAGTTTAGACACACTCTGTATGTACCTACTCTACATGGTTGCTGTTTCTCAGATAATTTTTTTTCTCGACTTCCACTCACCCAACTCCTGAAATGTTCTTCATTGAAACTTGATTACCCTATTTATTTGAAATTAAATATTAGAAAAAAAATCATTGAAGATGAAACGCTACTTGTTTTGTGTCTATCCACCTTTTATAGGAGGTCTTTCAATGCTGAGAGAAAGTCAAAATACTATATCGAATTGCCCTGTAAAACTAAGGAAAATTTTTCCCAATCTAAAGATCTTAAATACTGTCTGTAGGTTAATCGGGGAGGTGGTACATTCATTATTCCAGATTTTTTGGAATTTTCTCTCCTCTTATCTATACAATATAAATATTAATTTTATTTCAATATACGTGTAGTGAGGAGAAATCAGATGATTTGCCCCAAAATGTCACTGCGTTCAATGAATTTTCCAATCAGAGAGCCTAGAAGAAAAATTCACTAGCTTGTCAGTGGCAATTTGTATTGAAAATGGTTTGGAGAAGAGAAATAAAGGTATATAGGAAAATATCAAATTTTCACTTAGCTTTGGACGTTTCGTGAACGAATCTGCTCCCGTTCTCAACATAAAAAATGGATATTTGATAAGCGTATTCGTATTTGTCTTGTCACTTTTCAGTTCTCAGTGACAATTGGTGACGTTGGCAATCAAATGAGTTACAGGATGTTTCATTTATTAATCTCGAATTTACCATTTTCATTTCCAGATTTCAATAGTGAATACCATGTTCTATCTATATCAACTGAACAGGAAGCAATGGTATTCACTACTGAAATCTGGAAATGAAAATGGTAAATTCAAGATTATAAAATGAAAACATCCTGTAACTCATTTGATTGCCATCGTCACCAATTGTCACTGAAAACTGAGAAGTGTCAAGACGAATACGAATTTACTATACAAATATCCATTTTTTATGTTGAAAACGGGAGCAGATTCGTTTCCGAAACGTTAAAAGCCAAGTGAAAATTTGATATTTTTCTATATACCTTTATTTCTCTTCTCCAAACCTTTTTCAATACAAACTGTCACTGACAAGCTAGTGAATGTTTCTTCAGGCTCTCTGATAGAAAAATTCTTCAAACACAGTGACATTTTGGGGCAAATCATCTGATTTGTCCTCACTACACGTATATTGAAATAGTATTCATACTGTTAGCGACGATGTTCAAATCACCCCGTAATCATCCTGTGATCGAAGATTGAAGCAGGTTTAGTCATTAGCATCGTAGCATCAGAACGAATCACTTGCCGATGTTGTATTTTTATAAACGGTCATCTGTGTACAAGCCGTCCTGAGTGAATAAAAATGTGTTTGAGTGTTGAGATTGTGTCTATCTACGATGCCCTCATTTAGAATCTTATAATATCTCCATTTTATAGACGAGGAGAAAAAATCCCAAAGAATATTGAATTCGCTCTCGAAATCGAAACTATGAATTACCTATGGAAAATCTCCACGAAGGTGTTTCATTCTCTATAAAGGCATACAAAATTCAAAATTCTATCGAATTGTCTGATACGAGGGGAAATCAATAACTAAGCGTTCATCCGCAACTCAAGTTCATTGTAGCAGAGTTGTTCGTTGCCAACAAAACGAATATATCAATTGCATATTTATACATATGTGTGTAAACAAAGAGTCCTACAATTCACCAAGATATCATCGTTATCACATGTTAAAAAAACGAATATTTTTACTGAAGAAACGCTTCCTCATTTTCCTTTTTGCTTATCGAGAAAAGTACATTAATGCAATTCTTTTCTCATAGTCCAGTACAATATCAACGTTTTTATCACAAATCAAATCATGAGTTTTTCGTGACACCACATTTTTGAAAGTCATTACACTGTCCATACACTTTTGAATTCGACGCGACCGGGATTATACAGGGGAACAGGAAAAAGTAGGGAGGAGATCAAATGGAGCAAACAAATTAAAAGTAGGTAGGTACCTAAGATAACGTCATAACCGTTTGATGGAATAAGAAAGCAGGAGCCTATAAATATATGAAAAAGGTTGCCGGTCATCTAGGAATCATAGTGTGCTGATTCCAAGAATCAACAGGTTGTCATTTCACTCGGTTTTTTATGAAGCATGGAAAGTAAGCTGTGTTGAGTTTTGACATCTTAGAAGATAAACAGTCAGTTTCATACTCTTTAAGCCGGAGAAAAAATTCCTAGTCAGTTACGTGAACAAACGAAAAAAAAAACAGTCACGGTTATACCAGGATGACATATAAAACAAAAACATCAACGAAATAAACGAGACTCAGCAGCTGCCAGACAGAACACCCAACACAAAAAACCTCTTTGTGTTTGCAGTAAGCACCATAAGATATTCGAACTGAAAAACAATAGAAAAAACTTGGTCCTTCATATGGATAAAGAGAACATAATGCTTGGTACAGATGACAGCTTTTCCCATTTAGGGTTATAGCGCTTCGGATTCTGATTGGTAACAATCAAAACCCATAATAACAGAAAGTTCGTTTCAAGGCCAATAAGCGAAAAACGTTTTGTGTAAGAAAAGCTGATATTTGTCCAGTATAACCCTAAAACAGTGAATGTGAACAGTCCGCGCTTCATTATTCATCTTGTAGCTGTAAGTTGTGAGCTGCCATCTGTACCCACCATAAGAATACATCTTTTATCATACTATAAGCTCTTCCTTTTTGAAGTTGAACTCTTAGTCAATGGCAAGCAATAATTAAAGTACGAACAAACCTCAAGAATGGTAAACCAGAATGACATAAAACAAATGCACCAAACAGAAGATCAAGATTCTAGCAGCTGAACGGGATAAATACTAGAAAAAACTTTTTCAGTCACATAAACAAACAGAATAGAAAAATACATCACAATTCAAGCCGTATAGTATTTCGTCGTCAACAGCAAACAAAAAATCGTACACCAGAATGACATAAAACAGAAGCACCAAACAAATGAAAAATATTGTAGCAGCTGCTAATCAGACACCCAACATAAATAAACCCGACGATAGAATGATAATAACAGAATAAACTAAAAAAACTTTGTCAGTCACATGAAAAACCAGAAAAAAATAATGAGGTTACAAACCGTGGAATCTTTCGTCATACTGTAGGCTCCTCCTTTTTGAAGTTGATATTCTGGCTGGCGCAGAACTTCTTAGTCAAAGGCAAACAATTAAAATACGACCAAACCTGGCAATCATACACCGAAATAATGTGAAACAGAAGTACCAAACGAAAGAAAAGGGGCCAAGCGGCCGCCGATCATGAATAAAACTAAGGTGACGGCACACAACACAAAAAAACATATCTCGTGTTTGTAGCGAGGATAGAGAGAGATGAACGAAATGAACTAGAAAAAAACTTCTTCGGTCACATGAAGAAACAGAAAAAACAGAAAAACACGGTTACAAACAGACAATTAAAGTTCGAAAACACTCGAAACTGGTATAACAGAATGACATAAAACGAAAGCATCGAACAAAAAACAAGGTTTTTGCATCTGTCAGACAACCAACACAAGAAAAAACTTCTTTGTGCTTGTAGTGAGTTCGACCCTTACTAAATGAAATGAACTAGAAAGACCATCTTAAGTCAAAGCAAAACAAAACAATAAATCACGGTTACAAACCGTAAAATATTTCTTCCTCCTTATTGAAGTTGATATTCCTGGCGCAGAAATTTCTAGTCAACGGCACACAATTGAAGTACGAACAAACTCAAAAACCGTATACCAGAATGACATAAAACAACAGCTTTAACGAAATGAATGAGACTCAGCAGCTGCTAGTCAGACACCCAACACAAAAAACCTTCTCTTGCTTACAGTAAGGATAGAAAGAGATGAACGAACTAAACCAGGCTAAGCTTCGTCCATTCACATGAACAAACCGAAAAAAATTTACGGTTACAAACCGTGAAATGAACTAAAAAAACACATCGTCAGTCACATGAAAAAACAGAAAAAATAGTGCAACACGGTTACAGACTTTCAAAGTACAAAAAAAACTTAAAACTGATTTAACAGAATGACATAAATCGAAAGCATCAAACAAAAAACAAGGTCCTTGCAACTGTCAGACACCCAACACGAGAAAAAACTTCTTTGTGCTTGTAGAATTGGTAGGGAGATAACGAAATGAACTAGAAAGAGCTTCATCAGTCACATGAAAAAACGAAACGAAACAATAAATCATGGTTACAAGTAAAATCTTCCCTCCTCCTTTTTGAAGTTGAGACTCTCACTGGCCCAGAAATAACTAGTCAACGGCACACAATTAAAGTACGAACAAACTTAAAAATCGTATGCCAAAATAACATAAAACAAAAGCATTAATGGAATAAATGAATGAGACTCAGCAACTGCTAGTCAGACACCCAACACAAAAAACCTTCTGTTGCTTACAGTAAGGATAGAAAGAGATGAACGAACGAACGAACTAAGCAGAGCTTCGTCAGTCACATAATGAAATAGAACAAAACAATAAATCACGGTTACAAACCGTAAAATCTTTCGTCATACTATAGGCTCCTCCTTTTTGAAGTTAATATTCTGACTGGCGCAGAAATTCCTAGTCAACGGCACACAATTGAAGTACGAACAAACTTAAAAATCGTATACCAAATTGACATTAAACAGAAGCATTAACGAAATTAAAGAGTCCCAGTAACTGCTAGTCAGGCACCCAACACAAAAAACCTTCTCGTGCTTACAGCAAGGATAGAAAGAGATGAACGAACGAACGAACTAAGCAGAGCTTCGTCAGTCGCATAATAAAACACAACAAAACAATAAATCACGGTTACAAACCGTAAAATCTTTCGTCATACTATAGGCTCCTCCTTTTTGAAGTTGATATTCTGACTGGCGCAGAAATTCCTAGTCAACGGCAGACAATTGAAATACGAACAAACCTCGCAGTCGTACACCGGAATAACGTAAAACAAAAGCACCAAACAAATGAACAAAATCCACGCAGCGGCCAGACAAACCCAAATGGAGAACACCTTTTTGTGTTTGTCGTAGGGCCCGAAAGATATGAAAGGTAAGAGGGCGTAGGAGAGTAGGAAACCGAAGAGGAAACCGAATAAGTGGGCGTAATTGTCCACCCAGGGCAACAGACCGATCAGGAACAAGACCAAGGTGACGCAGAGCAGTTTGCCCAGGGCACGTTTGGGCCTTTTGAGCATCGGCCAGGCGTTGAGGACTTCCACTATGAGGCAGGCGAGGAGGCCGAATTGAGAGCCAGCCGGTCCCACCTGCAAAAATCCGGTCGGTTTAGATTTTTTCTCGGAAATTATCGAGTAGCTATTTTATGGGACCTAAAATAAGCATTTGATACAGAGGAATGAGCTTGAAAATTTTCGAAAGATATTTAACTGAAAGGGAACAAAATGTTCAGATCGAGCAAGTTCGAAGTAACACAAGAATTATATAATCTGGTGTCCCTCAAGGGACAGTTTTAGGACCTTTTCTATTTTTAATTTACGGACCTATTCTATTTTTAATTCACATTGAGGATATATTGAAAACAAAGATAAAAGGAAATTTATGTTCTTATGCTGACGATACAGTGTATATAGGTAGTAGAAATACTTGGGAAGAAACAGTATCAAATGCTGAATTCGATTTATCAATTATAAAAAACAATCTTGATCATGGTTTACTGACTCTAAATTTGAAAAAATCGAATTTTATGACATTCACATTTGATGTGAATGTGCAACCAAAAAGAATTGAAAAATTGAAGATACATGCTATTCCATGTCTAAAAAATGAATAGCAATGTAATTGTACCGAATATATTACCAAAATTGATGTCGTAAAGTATTTGGGAATTCACTTAGATTGCAAGCTCAAATGGCATAAACAGATTAATGAATTGATACAAAAACTGAGGAAACTATAAATTCAGATTTCTGAGAAACATTATCAGTCGGAATGAGATTATCAGTTTCTATCATAGTATTTTTCAATCTATTCTGGCTTATGGCATAACAGGCTCGAGAGGACTATATGAACAAGCGCTGAAACCACTTATATCAATTCAAAAATATACCTTGAAAATTATCTTCGAAAAACCTTGTGATTATTCTTCCAAAATCCTCTTTGAACATCATTACATTCTTTCTGTTGATCAATTGTTTTATAGAACATCAAGAATATAGATAAGAAAACATTAACAAAACTATAATCATGTAAAACATAAATATGACACCAAAAATAAAATTGATGGTTGGATATCAACTGAGAAATTCTCTTCAACTTTAATGCAATAACATAGCATTCATATAGGTAGAAAAATTTACAATAAATTGCCTCCATTAAAAAAAATCAGGTTTTTTGCATTCAAGAAAAAATTAAATCTTGGTTGACTGAGAAATCAGAAATTTTGGAAATTTGATTATATGATGAAATACTTATGCAACATTTCATGTTTTCTATAGTTATTTTTAGATAATATGAAAATTTATTTAATATGTTAATTGTACTCAATGAGAAAATGAATTTTAGTTAATCAGTGAAGGGAAAAAAATAATACATGATCATGGACAAGTTTTCAACTTTTTTGATCATGTTTATATAATAAAAAAAATTTATATTATTATTCATATAGTACGCTGATATGTATGTTATTTTGAAAATGAATGAAATGGAATAAAATAAAGTTGACCACAATATTCTCCTAGAAAACCTCAATTCAATTGGCATCAGAGGTATTGGAAACAATCTCTTGAAAACATATCTAGAAAGAAAATACTCAGTACTGAAATGGATAATTGGGAATCTAAAATACTATATATAAACAAAGGAGTTCCCCAAGGAACATGCTCCTGAATCTTCTACACGTACCTACTTAAGAAACACCCTGTATAAAATAATGAAAAAGTACTCACGTCCGCTCGATAGGGCACGAAAATGGCGCTGGCCAAATTCCCCGCCACCCCCGAGCCGATGTAGATGATGCCGATGCGCAGACTGCCAGTCAATTTCTCCAGATCGCGCATCAAAAAATGCTGCACCAGCACCGTAACCACCAGCTGCAAGATACCGGCGTGCAGGAAAATGGACGTCCACAGGCGATAGAACTGGTCAGGGGAGTCGGGGAAGTAGAAGGGCAGCATGCCGCACACGTCGTTCAAGCAGGACACCTGAAAAATCAGAGAAATTGTCCATATGCCTCATTCCTAACTGGAATACCTGCTTAACTCACGAAAACACCACGAAATTGTCGCAAAAACGTCATGATAACGCCACGAAAACGTCACGCATCCTTCAAAACGTCAAAATAACATTACAAAATCGTCACCACATTTGTCACATTTCAATAACGTTTTTTTCAGCGTTTCGACACATGCGAAACGCTTTTGTGGCGTTATTTTGACGTTTTGAAGCATGCATGACACTTTCGTGACGTTATTTCGACGTTTTTAAAGAATGCTTGATGCTTACGTGACGTTCTAGGGGTGTTATCGTGACGTTTTTGCGACAATTCCTAGGAGTATTCGCAAGCTAAGCAGGTATTTCAGTTGGGAATAAAGCATTGGTGAGACAGGGGTCGCTTGTGCTGAGATAACGGTAAATGTACTTCTGTAAAAGGGGAGCATGTTGCACTCGTCGCACTTCATTCTCGAGCGAAATACCTGTTCGACCTACGAAAAGACCACGAAATTGTCATGAAAAAGTCACGATGACGGCACGAAAGCGTCTAGCATTCGTCAAACGTCAAATAGCTTCGAAATATCGTCACGCATTCGTCTTCACATTCTTCACGTTTTCATGATGTTTTTTCTGGGTGTCGAAGCATGCGAGACGCTTTTGTAACGTTATTTCGACGTTTTGAAGAATGCGTGATGTTTTCGTGACGATATCATGATGTTTTCGCGAGAATTTCGAAGGGTTTTCATGGGTTCAGCAGTTATTCCAGTTAAGGATAGAGCATGGGGGTCCTCGTGATTTCATGATAGCTACGGTAAAATCGTAGAATTGATTAGACTGGATTTTGTGGCTGTTGAATGAACATACAACGTGCTGCAACCTATACTATATTAGTAATCATGTCAGCTTGAAACTTGTAGAATCGGCAATGGGGGTAAAACCTGTATTGGTGACATTTACTACATCAACAAATATCGAAGCACATCGACAGTTCATAGTTGGATCCATTAAAAAATTTAGAAATATTCACTGGATATTTTCTTAAAACTAAACAAGCTGGCGACACAGGAAACGGTATTATGACGTCAGTACCGGATAGAGGAGTTTGCTGCCGAACTTTAAGTTTGAACCATTCATCAAATTGTAGAGAGGGTATTCCAATACCGTTTTCAGAAGTATTACAGCATAATTATTTTATCAAAAAAGTGATACATGTTTTGGTACAAGAGTTGTTTTATTTGTTGAACCGTGTTCAAGATTGATTTTGAAGCGTTTTGAAATAAAAGTTATCGAAATCAAAGCTTGCTTATACCTAACCTGAAATCTATAAATTTTGAAATTATCAAATATCTGTGAAAAGTGAAAAGAGCAAACAATAATGGGGAAGTTTCCTATATCAAGGTTTTCATCTCACTGTGAAGTTTGTGAAAAATTGATATATAAGTTTTCTTGTCTCAGTAAGATCAAATTTCACTTCAGAAAAAAAATTACTAAAAGAGGAACTTGGCACCTCCACCATTCCTATGACTTACTTTCTGAAAATTCACATTTTCACAGAGTTAAAATACGATTCCCTACGCCAGTACGACGTTGCCGACATCATCAATATGTCTAGATTTCTGAAAATTTTTCTTTGAATGCCTAATAACTATATCATAACAGCAATGGAATATAATAGTTTCGTCAATCCTACTTTGTCAAGTATTATGAATAATTCCCATAAATCTCTCATTGGCTAAATGAAGTTAATAACTAATTGAGATGTATATTTTGCGATAGTTTTAATAATTTTTCACTGTCGTCATATTATGATATGTTATTTATGACTTGTTAGTCATTTTTTGCAAATGAGTTCGTTCCTCAATAAAACGGATCTATTTTCTAGGAAAGTTGCAGATTATATCTTGCATTAGCGCCTAATACTTTGAGTCCGTCCACACCACTCAAAATACTGACACGCACAACAAGAGGGAGGAGCCATATGGGTGGCGGCTTCATTCTGTTCTGACCGATGGCAGTAAATTTGAAAAGATAGTATCAGTGAATGGAGCGCCGATAGTGATTCATTGATTCAATGATATTTCCGTGATGTAGGATCGAGCTCTTTTCGCGAAATTTCAATGCATAAATAGCAAAACCATAACCTGTCGGAATGAAGCCAACTACCGTCTGCATTCCTGCTCCGTATAAGTTTGTGGTTATATATTATGTTTCTGGTTACCAGTTTCACTTCTTCTATTTCTTGCATTCGTTTTCTATTCGTTAGCTAGTCATTAGCCATTCGCTAGCTATATTCTTCACCATCAGCTATTTTCAGACTAGATTCAGAATGTACGTCACAGTTTGCCGCTCCGAAAATTAGAAGTTGCTTTAATTTGAAAATGAAAACGACTTGGACTTTATCGGTCGCCATTCTGTACAGCGTGGACATAAAACTGAAGAGTTCCAAACTCATTTTATGAAAATTCATCTGAAGGAAATTTCTCCATTGTAATGGATTCACAAGTAAAATTTGCAATTGATCTTGACAAAATATTCAGCAAAACAAAACTTAGAAGAAAACATAACCTCAAACCTCGACGTTTCCCCACTCCCATATTCTTTTCCGTGATTCGAACCGTTAATGTAGAAGTTCTTGAACCCAGATGAACACGCGAAGAAAACGCTTGATTTCGAATCGTTTAAGACGGTTCAACAAGAAAAAAACAAGTATAAGAAAGTAATAGAGAAAAAAAATCTTTTAATATTATACAACTCCCTGGTTGAATCGGTCATTAGGTACTGCATAACAGTGTGGGGAGGTCTGTATGAAAATTCCTTGAGTAAACTGCAATCAACCCAGAATTCCTTATTGAAAATAATATTAAAAAAAACTTTATTCCACCGATCAGCTCTATAAGGATGTTAAAACACTTGATACAAGAGGATTATACAAGGTGGGTCACGGTGGATGGTCTCTATCAGAAGTATCTGGAGAACGAAAAGACAGAACATTCTGAAAATTGGGATGCTGTGATAATTGAACATTCTCTATTCGTCTAAAATGTTTTCATCGATACAGTGTTGCCACTTCTATCAGAAACAACTAGCAACTTTGTTATTTCAAAAGAGACACCCTGTATTTTATTGCATTTTCAGATTCTTCCCGAGGAGCTGATTTCATCAATGTATCACACTTGAAGTCTAGCAGAAATGATTACAGAGATATAGGGTATTCAAAATCTAGATTTTTCAATTTTAGGATTTTTTTTGTGTCGAAAGTATTCATTATTGATCAAAACGGCTCACATGTCCCTATCTTAACTTTTGATTTACTATCTACTGGAATTTAATTGGAAAAAATACAGGGTGCTTCAAGATTCAGAATTCTGATCACCCTGTATCTGTTCCAATTAAATGTCAGTAGATAGTGAATCGAAAGTTAAGATAGGGACATGTGAACCATTTTGATCGATGATGAATAGTTTCGACACAAGAAAATTCCAAAATCGAAAAATCTCGATTTTGACGCCCTATATCTCTGTAATCATTCCTGCTAGACCCCAAGTGTGATGCATTGATAAAATCAGCTCTTTAGGAAGAATCTAAAAATGAAATAAAATATAGGGTGCTCCATTTACAATAACGAAGTTGCTATTTGTTTCTGATAGAAGTGGCAACACTGTATCGATGAAACCATTTTCGACGAATAGAGAATGTTCAATTATCAAAGCATCCCAATTTTCAGAACTTCCTGTCTTTTCTTTCTCCAGATACTTCTAATAGGCCATCCACCGTTACCCACCCTGTATATTCATCAGTCTCTGATTTGGATGTTTTATAATAAACAAAAATATACCTATCACTCCCAAAACTAAGCAAACCCGATTCGCTGAAAACAAGTCTATGATATTACCAATTTACCGGAAAGCACACACACAACGATATATATTTCTTTATGGACCTAAATTGTACAATTTCCTGCCATGAAACATAAAAACTACCACCCATTTGAAAAAATACAAAACATTAATGAAAAAATTTATATATGAAAATAAAAACTTATTAAAAATTTCTTTTTCTTTGCTATTGGTATTACTTCCGTAATCTTGAATCTCTTCTATTTTTTTTTATTTTTTTTATATTCCTTAATATTATTGAAATCTGCTACCTACCGCTAAATTTGATGAATTATATAAACCACTCCAAACTCATTGCAAGGCCACAACACAAGCATTTTAAGTCTCAGGTGGGTTGTTTGTTTTTTGGAAGTGGAACATATATTTGAAACTTGAACTATGTTAATTCTGTAAATTATGGTATGTGAATAAATTGAAATTGAAAATGAATAAGGATAATTAATATTAAAAGGTTAGTATTTTTCAGGGTTGGGTGAACATATACCTAGTATAGGTATACAGGGTGATCCTTAAAGACATGCTAATATTCGAGGGGGCGATTCTCTTACTCATTTCAAACAGAAAGCTTCATATGAACGTATGTCCTAAAAGTCTTAACTTTTGAGACACAGGGTAATGAATTTTTGAAAAATTTTCAGTTTTTTGATGATAACTAAGACAATATTTTATACATTTTTTTTTTATGTGGTACACGTCTTTTATGCATCAAGTTGCATTTTCTGATGTACAAAAATTTTCATTTTCTCTACCAGTGGCACCGTTACGGGAAAATTATTGTTTATATTTTACTCAAAAGTGAGCAACGACGAAACATTTTCATATTTCATACAATGCTATGAAAGGCTATCTCATTTTGTACAAAAAAGATCCTCTTGTTGATACTCGATAGAACGCTTCGTTTTCCAGAAAAAACAGAAAAACGTGACCAGACTTCAAATTTGAGTACTCCATTCAGGACATCCATTACTGGATAACCATTGTATGTAACATTTTGAAATTTGTATACCAATTCAGTCACATAGCAGACTGAATTTTGCCAGCCAGCTACACAGGGTGGACACAAAAAAATTATGCATATTTTCAACATTGACACCTTGTATCTCAAAAAATAGGACGTTTACGACATATGTTCATATGCAGTTTTATTCTTGAAAAAGGTCGAAAAATCGGCCCCTTGAATATTACCATATCATTGAGGAACACCCTGTATAAGCAGCACTCTAGAATAGGATATTTAGTTTTAATCTTCTCCTGAAGATGCTAACATAGTTAGCGAAACACGTGTCGAGGGAGGCGTGTAAAAAATCGGTTATATTATTATTATTATAATTATTAGTATAAAGTATAAGGAGAAAAAAAAATACCTGCGAGCAAAGAGAAGCTTCCTCGTGAAAGGCCCCCCCTTACAAAATCACAGTACTCCTTGGTGGTGATCCGACACTGGCCGTGGATGCCGATACAGCACGGATGCCCGATTATTTCGCACACCATGTGCTCGGCCAACTTGTCGCGCGGTCCTGCGGCGCTGTTGCCGCTCCCTCCTTTTTGTACGGAGAACTGCGTATTCGATTTGGAAAATTGCGTGTTGGTTTTGCGGCATATCGGCCATTTGGTGATGTCGTCCGGCCATTCGTAGGGGTGGACACTAGCAGGAGCGTCACAAAATCTGGAAGGATCAAACAAAGAAGAATTTGAGTGACCATGCAGGGCGCAGAAACTTCTGAATATCTAATACACTAGGTGATATATACCAAAATAGAAATCATATTTGTGTTCAGCATATAGAGAACAGCCTATATACAAGTTTCCATACAGTTCTAGTTTTCATCGGAAATCGCACAAGTGAGGATTCTAATTTCCTTTTCGCTTGAAAAAACTCAAAAATCATCGTACAGCCTTCAAATTTGGCATGAAGGACTCTAATGACTATGTCCCACTACAACTATTCTTCCTTCCTCGCAGTTGAAAAAAAAATAAGAATTTTTTCGCAAAGAGGAATCAGAGAGTCTGTGCACTGTGCACAAAATCTGGAAGGATTGATAAAAAAAAAGAATTTGAGTTCACTGTGCACAAAATTTAGAAGGATTAAAGAAAGAAGGAATTTGAGTGACCATGCAGGATGCAGAAACTTCTGAATATCTAATACACTAGGTGATATATACCAAAATAGAAATCATATTTGTGTTCAGCATATAGAGTACAGCCTATATACAAGTTTCCATACAGTTCTAGTTTTCATCGGAAATCGCACAAGTGAGGATTCTAATTTCCTTTTCGCTTGAAAAAACTCAAAAATCATCGTACAGCCTTCAAATTTGGCATGAAGGACTCTGATGCAATTGCCAATATCCCATTAAAACCATTCTTCTTTCGTCGCAGTAGAAAAACGTTGGGAATTTTTTTTTGCAAGAGGAATCAGATATACTGTGCAGGTTGCAGACAATCTAGAATATCTACAAAACTAGTCAAGAAAGACAGAAATATAAATCATTTGTGTTCAGCACATCGAGAAAACCCTATACAAATTTTCAGGCGATTAAAATTTTTAACGGGAATTGAAAAATCGGAATCATCGTAGAGCCTCCAAATTCGTCATGAAGGACTCAAATGCAATTGTGTATGCCCCACTAGAACCATTCTTTCTTCCTCGCAGTAGAAAAAAAAAAGTTGACAGTTTTTTCGCAAAGGGGAATCATAGAGATTGTTCAGGTTGCAGACAATCTAAAATATCTACAAAACCAGTCAAGATAGACGAAAATAAGAATTATTTTCGTGTTCAGCACATCGACAACACCCTATTAAAGTTTTCAGACGATTATAATTTTTATCGGGAATTGAAAAATCGGAATCATCGTATATCCTTGGCATTTGGCATGAAGGACTCTAATGCAATAGTCTATGTCCCTCAAGAACCATTCTTCCTTCCTCGCGGTAGAAAAAAAGTTGACAATTTTCTCGCAAAGGGGTATCAGAGAGACTGCAGGTTGCAGACAATCTAAAATATCTACAAAACTAGTCAAGATAGACGAAAATGAGAATTATCTTCGTGTTCAGCACATCGACAACACCCGATTAAAGTTTTCAGACGATTATAATTTTTATCGGGAATTGAAAAATCGGAATCATCGTATATCCTTGGCATTTGGCATGAAGGACTCTAATGCAATAGTCTATGTCCCTCAAGAACCATTCTTCCTTCCTCGCGGTAGAAAAAAAGTTGACAATTTTCTCGCAAAGGGGTATCAGAGAGACTGCAGGTTGCAGACAATCTAAAATATCTACAAAACTAGTCAAGATAGACGAAAATAAGAATTATTTTCGTGTTCAGCACATCGACAACACCCGATTAAAGTTTTCAGACGATTATAATTTTTATCGGGAATTGAAAAATCGGAATCATCGTATATCCTTGGCATTTGCCATGAAGAACTCTAATGCAATAGTCTATGTCCCTCAAAAACCATTCTCCCTTCCTCGCGGTAGAAAAAAAGTTGACAATTTTTTCGCAAAGGGGTATCAGAGAGACTGCAGGTTGCAGACAATCTGAAATATCTACAAAACTAGTCAAGATATTCGAAAATAAGAATTATTTTCGTGTTCAGCACATCGACAACACCCTATACAAGTTCTCAGGCGATTCTAATTTTAATCGGGAATTGAAAAATCGGAATCATCTTAGAGCCTTCAAATTTGGCATGAAGGACTCGAATGCAATTGTGTATGTCCGACTAGAATCATTCTTTCCTTGCCGCAGTAGGAAAAAATTAATGAATTTTTTATCCAGAGGAATCTAAGTGACCGTGCAAGGATCAGAAAATTCCAAATATCTTAGAAACCCGGCCAGATAGTCAACAATATAAATTATATTCGCACGAATCGCCTATAATCTCGAACACCATGTGCTCGGCCAACTTATCGCGCGGTCCTGTGGCGCTGTTGCCGCTCCCTCCCTTTTGTACAGAGAACTCCGTATTCGATTTGAAAAATTGTGTGTTGGTTTTGCGGAAAGGAGGCGCCGCAGAATCTAGAAATAATATTTGACAAAGTGATCCGAAATGATTTCTTTCACTGTTTGTTTTTTGTTTGCAAAAATCAAACATCATTGTAGAGACTTGTGTTTGCACTTCGGGAACACCCTGTATACATGTTTCCAGGCTATTTCTACCTCGTCGCAGAAAGAAAAACTATCAATGTTATCAAAAGAAAAACAAAAGACTCAAAGTCAGTCGACCACACATTTATATAACACTAATCGTCAAATACATGTTACCGGTTTCGGCACAACGGCCATCATCAGACAAAACCGGTAACATGTATTTGACGATTAGTGTTATATAAATGTGTGGTCGACTGACTTTGAGTCTTTTGTTTTTCTTTTGAAATTGTATTGGACCACTTTGAGAAATGGATGATTTTCACGATTTATCAATGTTATTCCAAACGAGAATCCGAGTGACGGTGCAGGTTGCAGAAAATCTGAAATATCTACAAAACTAGACAAGATAGACAAAAACAGGAATCATATTAGTATTTAGCACCTCAAGAACACCCTGTATACGAGTTTTCAGCCCATTTTGATATTCATCGAGAATTGGAAAATTAAGGAAGGAGTTCATTCTTTTTTGCTCGAAAAAATCAAAATCATCGTAAAGCCTTCTAATTTGGTATGAAGCACTTCCTTGCAGTAGAAAAACTTGATCTCTTATCCAAGAAGAAATCCGAGTATTCAAATTTTCAACTCATTCGAATTTTTATCGGGAATCGAAAAATAAGCAAGAAGTACACTAGTCTTCAGCGAACTTAGAGCTGACACTGTCCATGGGCGACATGTTCTCTGAAGACGACTGTACGTTGATGATATGAGCGAAAAAAATTCCACTTGGCACCTTCAAATCCCAACAAAATGAGTGAATAATAATTACCGATTTGAAACTTTGAATATTATTACAACATACTGAAAAATCAGGAAATTCCACCGATTATTTCATTCACACCTGGCTGCACCTATGAAATTTCATGATTAAAGTCACATGATATGCAATATCAGCGGATATTTAGGTAAACAAACATAATATGAGCGTCTATTCTGTTCGAAAGCATAATCATAAGCATAATCTTGGAAACTATCGGGTCTACAGAGACAACACTAGTATCATAGTGTAGCAGATTTAGTCTGCTTCGAAAACGTCCTGAGAAAGTTTTTTTTTAACTAGTCTTTTGAGGTTATAATCACCAAAATTTGAGAGAAACATGATTTTTTCGATTTTTGACAAAGTTGCGTTTGGCGCTCGAGGTCACAAACTGCAAACAATCAGAAATACCGGATTTGACGCATGCTGTGATGTAGGTATAAAGTTACTGGACTACTATCCTATGAAAATACTTACTTTGGATCCAGGCCACACACAGAACCCGATATTCTTCCACCAGGTCCGGCGTCGCCCATTGTCCATTTTTTCCAAGTAGAAATGGTTTTCTGAAAATCACGTCGAGAATCACCTCTCTGTCCATTCAACTCTCTTTTTAACGTAGAAGAAAAAACGAAATTGTCCACCAAATACACGAAAAGTCGAAAAATTGATTGCAACTTAAAATGAAACATTGATTTATTAGGATCAAAAGTGGAATTTTGTTTGATTGTTAAACATCTCGACTAGTAATAGTAGATTGTTTTATTAGGATCAAAAGTGACACTTTGTTTGACAAGCGAATTTTGCATTTGCGAGGCGGAGCGTTTAGCGAAGCCGAGCGAAAGCAAAACTTGCGAGTCGAACAAAGTCACTTTTGATCCGAATGAAACATGCTATTTTTTCTGCAACCGAAACAATTAACTCAAATAAACGTGTGAAGTAACCACCAATGCCGTGCCATATGTATGCAATGCAACAAATATTGACAAATAATTCATGTGGTGAGAATATTCTACCTGCATTAACAGCAGGTTAGGTTTTCTAGGATGTTTGAATTGTAGTTTCAATATAAATACAACCACAGAGTGACATATTTGTGTATGGACCAGATGCTCTAATGGCAAATACCGCGCCAGTGCCAGCTATAGGAACAAGACGTGGAAAATGTCAGGTTAGTGAGCATATCAACAATGATAATAGTGATTATTTATTCCTCTCCATACTACACTGTGTTTGATTTGATTATCAAATGGAGCTAAACAATATCGTTGTTTGAGACAAAAAACTATTGCTTGCCGTGATTATTCAAAAAAAAGTTTTCCATCCCGAGAATAACGAATGAAATACAGATGAAGCAAGTACTTGAATCTTGAAGGCTTCCCTGATCAAAACAAAAATACTTGACTGAGATGTTTATAATTCCAATACTAAACTATAATAAGGTGTATTTATATCTCCAGCATGGGTATGAAATGCCAAATCTGGTGAAATCGGAAACAAATCAGGTATGCGTCTCAACCCAAATAACAAACCGTCACAATGTTGTTTATTCTTGATGACGTCCAGTAGACCCTTTTCAGTTCCTAGGAGCTTAAGTTCAACTTTAGCTCCTAGGAACTAAAATTCAACTTTAGCTCCTAGGAACTAAATATGTTGCCTAGCAACATACCTATTTTTGTGTCAGTAATAGAAACGTCAATTTAACAGCTAATTTTGGTATCAAAATGGACGACTTTTGTGTCGGTTGCAGAAAAAATAACTTAAGTGAAGTTACCACCATTGTGGGTCACTTGAATATATCAGAGTTGTCTGCTGACTTATTTTAAGCTTGTAGGTTTTTTCCCATAATGTTCCTAGGATTTTCATTTAGCTCCTAGGCACTAACAGTGTGGCCTAACAACATAGATATCAATTATTTCATTGTGTCTGTAATGAAATACTTAGTCAATTTGGAGAAAAAAAAATCACAAAGAAAACGACGTTTCATATAATTGAAATTACGACGATTATAGGGAATGTTATATTCCTGAAATAATAAAACAAAAAACAAGAAGTGGTATATGAGGCACAAATCTACAGATACTGAGTAAACTTACCGTTGGCCTAAGTCCTCGCAACTAGCAAGTTGGAAAAAGAATACTTCGAATTAAAATCATTACCATACTTGGTGTTTCACAGTTTAAGTGAAAAATGCCTTGGGAAGATTCAAGCATGATTGAATCTATTTCCTTACAAAGTACTAACATTGTTTTGAAGCACTCTATCAGCCCTATCATTGATAACTGGACACCTTGTATAATGAAATAGTAATAATATCTTTATCTGCAGAAGCCAGGTGACGGAATCCCCAAAATTCTGGAGCAATGAATTCACGTACTAAGTCGAATAACAATTGATGACCTCGGTGCAAGAACCATGCAACGCCATTTTTTAAAATGCTGGGGAATGGAAGAAAACTAAATATTTGCGAGAAACTTGAAAAAATTATGCTAAATGGTATGAATCCTTCAGAGTTACGTTAGATAAGCTGTATTTACGGATATACTAATTTTCATTCACATTGTAGAAGCTAAAAAAGAAGTTTGAAAAAATGGAGTTGCATTCGCCTGATTCTTGCACCAAAAAATGCGCAAGAAAAAAATGTATACAATAACTCAATTTCAGCATAAAATGGAGTTGCCCGGTTCTTGCACCGAGATCTTCAATTTGAAAAATATTTCGAAAAACACCACCTCAATTTATTCGTCGCTATGAATTTTGAAAACACTCTTGGGACTTATTCATTCAGACTAATTTATCAGCTTTTTTTCTTACCGAACAGTCGGCTTGCGAAGATTGCACGCATCCTGAATCGTCGTTCCTTATGCAACACGCCGTCTCTCTCTCTTTCGCCTGGATTTTGTCGATCTCCTTTTTGATTTTATTGTCGATTCTCATGCAGGGCGCGAATTTTGCACCCAAGTGTATCAAATCTCCCGCCCTAGGTCCGAACCTGTAAAAATAATTGAAATCGTTTTTTATTATTAGTGTTTTTTATCTATTGGAGCGCACGAAACTGAATCCCTACCATGTTCATGGAACATCGTGCGTACTTAGGGAGGATAGGGGAGAAAAGGTAGTTATTTGAAAACGTCAAAATGTCGAAGAATATTGAAACAAACGTGGAAGAAAATCGAGAAAACGTGAATGAAACGTTACAATAACGTCACAAATTCGTAGAAACCCTGTAAAGCGTCAAAAAAACGTGGGGTACGCGTCACGAATGAGTCGAGAAGGTCGAAAAACGTCAAAAAACGTCACCGAGCGTCATGCATTCATCGAAAGGTTATACATGTCAGAAAAACTGAGATAAATATACTTGTAACATTTTCGTGGCGTTTTAATGACGTTCATTTCACGTTTTTTCGCCGTCTCTCTCTCTCTCTCTCTTTCGCCTAGATTCTGATTTTATTGTCGATTTTCATGCAGGGCGCGAATTTCGCACCCAATTTTATCAAATATCCCGTCATAGGTCTCCGAACCTGTCCAAAAAACATTGTTATCGCTTTTTCATTATCCCTATTTTTTTCTCGAACATTTGTAGGTCATTAAGGCGTCAAAATGTCGAAGAACATGCAGACAATGTGGAAGAAAATCGAAAAAAACGTGAATGAAACGTCACAAAATTGTCACACATTCTTAGAAACCTTTGGGCGTCGAAAAAACGTGGAGAACGCGTCATGAATGAGTCGGGAAGAGTCAAGAAACGTTAAAGAAGGTAACAAAGCCGTCATGCATCCATCGGAAGGTTAAATATGTGGAAAAACCTGAGACAATATGTTTGTAATATTCTCGATTTTAATGCATGGCGCGAATTTTGCCTCTAAGTGTATCAAATCTTTCGCCCTAGGTCCGAACCTGTAAAAATAATTGAAATCGTTTTTTATTATTACTGTTTTTTATCTATTGGAGCGCACGAAACTGAATCCCTACCATGTTCATGGAACATCGTGCGTACTTAGGGAGGATAGGGGAGAAAAGGTTGTTAATTGAAAACGCCAAAATGTCGAAGAATATTGAAACAAACGTGGAAGAAAATCGAGAAAACGTGAATGAAACGTTACAATAACGTCACAAATTCTTAGAAACCCTGTAAAGCGTCAAAAAACGTGGGGTACGCGTCACGAACGAGTCGAGAAGGGTCGAAAAACGTCAAAAAACGTCACCGAGCGTCATGCATTTATCGAAAGGTTATACATGTCAGAAAAACTGATATAAATATGCTTGTAACATTTTCGTGGCGTTTTGCTGACGTTCATTTCACGTTTTTTCGTCGCCTCTCTCTTTCGCGTAGATCTTGTCGATCTCCTTTCTGATTTTATTGTGGAACCTGTCCAAAAAACATTGTTATTATTTTTTTTCTCGAACATTTGTAGGTCATTGAGGTGTCAAAATGTCGAAGAATATGGAGACAATGTGAAAGAAAATCGAAAAAACGTGAATGAAACATCACAAAATCGTCACACATTTTTAGAAACCTTTGAATGGCGTCGAAAAAACATGGAGAATGCGTCATGAATGAGTCGGGAAGAATCGAGAAACGTTAAAGAACGTAACAAAGCCGTCATGCATCCATCGGAAGGTTGAATATGTGGAAAAACCTGAGACAATATGTTTATTATATTCTCGATTTTAATGCATGGCGCGAATTTCGCCTCCAAGTGTATCAAATCTTTCGCCCTAGGTCCGAACCTGTCAAATAAATTTCATATAATTGAATGAATTTCAGAAAGCAAAAATATTTTTGATCATTTCTGATGTATTATAATCTTTTGGAGCACACGAACGTGAATCCCTATTTTCTTCCTAGACATCGTGAGTGCATACGGTGGATAGGGAGATAATGTAGGTATTGGAATTTCCTTGAACATTTGTGGAGCGAAATATCGAAAAGAACAAACGTGGATGAAACGTCAAAGAAACATTAAGAAAGCTCCACACAGTCTCAGAAACCTTGAAAAGCATCTAAAAAACTTAGTGAATGCATCGAAAAGCGTCCAAAATCTTTAAAAACGTCGCAAAAGCTTCATGCATTCATCGTAACGTTGAAACATGTGAAAAAAACCTGAAACAATGTGTTTGTAACATTTTCGTGACGTTATTGTGACGTTTATTTCACGTTTTTTGCCGTTTCTTTCTCACTTTCGCTTGGATCTTGTCGATCTTATTTCTGATTTTATTGTTGATTCTCATGCACGGCGCAAATTTCGACCTCAAGTGAATCAAATCACCTATGAAAAAAAAATTATTGAAATCGTCTTCTTATTATCTATTGGAGCGCACGCGAGTGAATCCCTATTCCATTCATGGTACATCGTGCGTGCCTTGGGAGGATAAGGAGAGGAGGTAGGTAACTAATACCTGAATTTTATTTCTACGATTTTTTCAATAAACAATAAAAAATCCCGTATGAGTCAAAATGTCGAAAAGCCTCGAAAGAACGGTAAAAAAAAAGTCACAAAAATGACATGAATGAAGCGTCACACATTCTTATAAACCTTCAAATGCGTCGAACAAATGTGGAGAATGCGTCATAAATGTGTCTAAAAGCGTTGAGAAAAGTGAAAAAACGTCACTGAAATGTCGTGCATTTATCTAAACGTTGACCCATGTCCAAAAGCCTAGAACAATATGATCGTAACATTTTCCTAACGTTTTTGTGACGTTACTATTCGATTTTATTTCGCCATCAAGTGTATCAATTCGCCGCCCTTGGTCCGAACCTGTACATCAATTTCACATATTCGAATGGATTCCAAGAAGAAAACTAGCTGAAATCAATGATTTTTTAGCCAAATTTGAGTGAAATCTCATAAGCCGTTTTTGAGTTATGGAGCAGAAACGATTTGGAAATTGTAACTTCAGAGCCGTCTAGAGGCCAAACTAAGCAACTTTGTACTGAGGTAAGTTTGCTTGTATCGAATTCTTTTGGTCTGAGGAATATGTGGCAAGTTTTTGTAATAACCTTCAAGGGAAACCATCCAAACTAAGCTATACTAATTTCGTCGCAACCCAAAATTTTTTCCCTGTTAATATACGAATAACTGTTTTCTGCTTTGAACAATTTTAAATCGAATTACACTGTTTGCTATTCCAGTCTTTCAGCTATAATCTCGTACTTCCTTGAAACATGGAGTTCTTCATATAAAACTGCTACAGGGTGTCACATGAAAGTGTTAAAAATTTCGGAATTTTCAAGAGGATCCCAAATGAACAAAAACTTTTTTTCTCAACTTCGACAGCCAGCAGAGGCATGAAGATTATCTCATTATCTAGGGACATTTTTCAAATTGCCTTCTTATCTCTTTTATTCACAGAGTGATCTCAAACAATTACCTTTCTGGTTTTGCTGTCATAACTTTTTTCCTTGTCAACCCGTTTTCAAAATCTCATTTTGAAGCTGAAACTTCAGATGAAGAGATACGAGGATCAGAATTGACTCAAGATGAACATTATACCGGGTGATCCACGGTGGATGGCCTATTAGAAGTATCTGGAGAACGAAAAGACAGAACATTCTGAAAATCGGGATGCTCTAATAATTGAACATTCTCTATCTGTCTAAAATATTTTCATCGATACATTGTTGCCACTTCTATCAGAAACAACTAGCAACTTTGTTATTTCAAATGGAACACCCTGTATTTTATTGCATTTTTGGATTCTACCTGAAGAGTTGATTTCATCAATGCATCATACTTGGGGTCTAGCAGGATGATTACAGCGATATAGGATGTTCAAAATCGAGATTTTTCTATTTTAGGATTTTTTTGTGTCGAAACTATTCATTATCGATCGAAACGGCTTGCCTGTCCCTATCTTAACTTTTGATTCACTATCTACTGGAATTTAATTGTAAAAAATACAGGGTGTTTCAAGATTCAGAATTCTTATCACCCTGTATCTGTTCCAATTAAATGTCAGTAGATAGTGAATCGAAAGTTAAGATAGGGCTATGTGAGCCGTTTTGATCGATAATGAAGTTTCGGCACAAAAAAATCCTAAAATTGAAAAATCTCGATTTTGAACACCCTATATCTCTGTAATCATTCCTGCTAGTAATACATTGATGAAATCAGCTCTTTAGGAAGAATCTAAAAATGCAATAAAATACAAGGTGCTCCTTTTGAAATAACGAAGTTGCTAGTTGTTTCTGATAGAAGTGGCAACACTGTATCGATGAAAATATTTTAGACGGGTAGATAATGTTCAATTATCAAAGCATCACAATTTTCAGACTATTCTGTTTTTTCGTTCTCCAGATACTTCGAATAGGCCTTCCAGCGTGGATCACCCTGTATAGTGTGTCTCAGTTCTAATGGAAGCACCCCTGTATCATTCGTTATTGTTAAGTTAGGATTCTGAAACTTACAGGAGCGGGAGATATACTGTGAATGAACACTATGACCAAGTGGAATCATTTCCAGTGATAAACACTGCTCGTCAACCATCCAAATTTCCGGAAAATTTTATTAGAAGCCAAGATAGGTTAAAAATCACTTCGGATTCGACGTCCAATTCACTGACTATACAACGTATTCCTGGAAAATTTTCAGTTCAGGAAAATCAAATTTTGTCTCACTTCTCATGCAAGCACCCCCGTATCTCATGTAATTATCGTGGTAGGGTTCTGAAATTTCCAGGAGGAAGCGAAAGGGACGTCCTGATTCCGAATCCGGAATGATTTTCAACATATCTTGCCTCCTGATATCATTTTTGTAAGTAGTTCCATGGCTGTTGGCGAACAATGTATATCACTGGAGACGACTCCACCTGGCCATAGTGTGTAATTTTAGTATATCTACCGCTCTTGCTAATTCTAGAATCCTGACCCAACAATTACGAAAGATACAGGGGTGCTTCCATTATGAGTGAGACACACTGTATAATGTTCATTTTGAGTCAATTCTGATCTTCATATCTCTGCATCTGAGGTTTGGGCTTCAAAATGAGCCTAAGATCTCGAAAATCGGTTAACGAGGAAAAAAGTTATGACTGCAAAGCCAAAAAGTTAATTTTTTGAGATCACCCTGTAAATAAAAGAGATAAGGAGACAATTCGAGAACTGTCCCAAGAAAAAAAAGTTTTTCTTCATTTGGGATACTTTTTCGGAAATTTCAAGATTATCCCGAATGAAGAAAAACTTTTTTTCCTTGGGACAGTTCTTATCTCTTCTATTTACAGAGTGATCTCAAAAAATTAACTTTTTGGTTTTGTAGTCATAACTTTTTTCCTCGTCAACCGATTTTTGTAATCTCAGGCTCATTATGGAGCTCAAACTTCAGATGAAGAGATATGAAGATCAGAATTGATTCAAGATTATACAGTGTGTCTCACTTATAATGGAAGCACCCCTGTATCTTCTGTAATGGGGAAGACCACTGAGGGAAGATATCCGTGCAAACCTCTTTCAATCGACGAATCATGATTTACGTTTGATCTACAATCAATATTAGGAGTTGAAGTTGAAGGGAATCGAATCTATATCGTTTTGAAATCAGCATATTTCATTCGTTATTTCTAAAAGCCAAATATGATGGTGGAGCTGTGACGTATTAGTCCCGCACTGTAGCTATCTCTCTCTGATACCTCGTCATTCTGCAGTGTTGCAGTGTGATTGGTGAGTTCAAGGACAATAGGCGTGTTGAGACTGAGACGTCGCACCAGTCTCACCAATGGATTGACAAAATTTCAAATAGCGCAGGAATTGTGTGATTCGAAATAGACAAATTCTGATTTATTTTTTTCATCGTCTTAGCATGAATGGAAAAATTCAAAATTAATTCACTGGTAGTTTTTCAGTATAGAGTTCAGGATAATGTCGTTTCAAAAAATCAGTGGTCTCCCCCATTGTTGAGTGGATTCTGAAATTCGCCAGAGCGGTATATATACTGAAAATACACACTATGGCCAAGTGGAGTCGTCTCCAGTGATATAAACTGTTCGCCAACAGCTATGGAACCACCCACAAAAATGATATAAGAAGGCAACATAGGTTGAAAATCACTTCGGATTCGAAATCAGGACGTCCCTTTCGTTTCTTCCTGCAAATTTCAGAACCTTACCTCAATAATTACGTGAGATACGGGAGTGCTTCCATGAGAAGTGGGACAACATTTGATTTTTCTGAATTGAAAATTTTCAAGGAATACTATGCATAGTCAGTGACTTGGACGTCCTAATTTCGAATCCGAAGTGATTTTCTACCTATCTTGGCTTCGAATAACATTTTCCGGAAATTTGGGTAGTTCCATGGCTGTTGGCGAGCAGTGTTTATCACTGGAGATGACTCCACTTGGTCATAGTGTTTATATTCAGTATATCTCCCGCTCCTGTAAGTTTCAGAATCCTAACTCAACAATTACGAAATATATACAGGGGTACTTCCATTAGAAGTGAGACACACTGTATAATGTTCATCTTGAGTCAATTCGCGGGAATCAATGTTACCAGGTGACGCTCGGTTTTTATCGTTCCATGTCAAAGCCACGTCAAAACTGGGGGAAAACAAACTCAATCCTCAGTCAATCCCCTTTTAGTGCCATTATAGCTTGTGTACTGTGTACTGGATAAGAGTGATGTTTTTGAATTTCTTGACATCGATTGTCATCTGATGAACTGTATTCTGAAGCCAAGATATTCTATATTAGACAACTATATTATTTCACGGCCAACTTGAAATATCATCAAAACAAACATATCGCACAACTTCCGACACATGACTACAATAAACGACAAAAACATCATTTCAAAGTGCCACAAATGTCAAAAACACTTTGCCAACGATCATTTTTATATATCGCTCCAAAAATTTATAATTCCCTACCTGAGAATATGAAAAATATTATATCTACTGCTCATTTTAAGCACGAACTGAAAACATACATCATTAATAACCCTAGAAACATTGTTAAACTTCAAATTTACTGAAAGTATTTTTGCTATCGTCAAGGTATTATCATTTTTAAATGTATGTATTATTCTAGTGAATACTATATTATATTATCAATTTTATTTTATTATTATTATTATTCACTGTATTTGTTTCCCCCTCAAAACAAGTGTTAACTTACTTATTGAGTGCTCACATTTATTCATCAACAATCAATTTATATTCATCAGCATATATTTATTATATTATCATGTATTTCTATGTTTGTTTTTCTATGTATCTCTATTTGTACTCATTATACATGAATAAATGTTATTATTATTATATTCGGTCGAAAACGCTAATAATGCCTGTTGGTAGATGTTCTTTTGGCAGATATTTTGCTCTATTTAGATGGGAAAGGCCGACCAGAAGTGGAAGGAGAAGCAGTTCTCCATGCTAATCATGTGATTTTGTGTGAGGCAGAAGACTTCAACAAAAGGCACATTTTTGCAATTTGTCTACAAACTTCGGCGATGAAATCTTCTCCACATGAAGTAAAATTGAAGTTGGGGTCCAGATGAACTCCTGTAGTTCAATGGATTTGTATTTGTTCATGCAAAGCAGGACACTCTGGGTATTGTAAACATGGTGTAGTGTTCTTTTATATGTCAATTGATTTACTCGTCATGATTAGTTTCAATTTTTTGAACTATCTCCAATTCTTCACCCGTCCACTGTTCACTTAACTAATAAAAATGTAATAATGTAAAAAAATTTACCAACTCAACCATCATCACTACCAACAGTGCCAACACTTTATGTCATGTTATTGACAAGTTTGACTACAGCTACGGCAATGTAGTCTATGCACTTTATCCATAGACAACAGTTTGTTTTCCCCCAGTTTGAAGTTCGTATTATGTAAACTAGATGTCGCCCACTTCGTGAATCTCGCGAATTCTGATCTTAATTCATATCTCTTTATCTGAAGTTTCAGCTTCCAAATGAGATTTCAAAAACGAGTTGACAAAGAAAAATCTTATGACTGCAGAACCAGAAAGTTAATTTTTCGAGATCACTCTGTAAATAAAAGAGATAAGAAGACAATTCGAGAACTATCCTAAGAAATAAAAAGTGTTTCTTCATTTGGGGTAATTTTGAAATTTCCGAAATTTTGCACAGTTTCAGATAACACCCTGTAGCGATTTTATGTGAAGAACCTTATGTTTTGAAGAATTACGAGATTATAGCTGAAGAATTAGGTTAGCGAAATGTGTGATCCGAATTCAAATTGTTCAATATAGAAAAAAGTTATTAATATTGTTACGTTGTTCGGGTGCAGAAGCGAACACGACACTATTTATTTTCGAACTGATTTATTTGAACTAAAGAAACACTAATTTATATCGAACTTATAACTACTATTTATGTAAAACGATTTATATCACGCGGTATACAGGGTGTCCCAAAATTAGCCTGCCAAACTTCACCAGCGGCTTTACCTACCAAAAATAGAAAGAAAACTTTTAATGAACATGAGCCGAGAAACGTCTCCTAAGGGAGCTACGGCCCCCTGGAAGGGGGCTCCTAAAGATGATATTCCTTGAATATATCTGAAACTCCATGTAATAAAAAGTTGCAATTTGGTACAAGAACTAAAATGTCCATGCCGAATGCAGTAAACATGAAATTATCTCAAAATTTCAATCAGGAGTGTATAATACAGGGTGGGACTACATTAAATATTGCTCAAAATTTTTTGTTTGCATATTTTTCGACAATTCAATCTCTGATTATGAAATTTCACACCTATTTACAGAAAAAAGGTACTCTTGTTCCATGACGATCAGATGTATTATTATCGAGTGAAAGCAATTTGAAAGTATTGTTACATCTCAGATATCATGCCTAACATTGCAATGAGGCGTAGTGAAAATGGAAAAAAATTGCACAAAAATTGAAGTAGTAATTTCATCATTATTTTTCTATTTTTTGCGCTTTCATGAGATTGTATGGTAAAAAGAGAGTACTTGATTTTCTTAAAGCCACTATGATTTGAAAATTGACAACGTTATGCATAAGATGTGAGTGCATCAATATTTTTAAATCGATTTCTCTCGAAGATGATACATCTGATCGCTGCGGAACAAGAGCACCTTTTTTTGTGGAATGGTGTGAATTTTCATTATCCGAGATTTGAGCAATATTTATAGTAGTCCCACCCTGTATTATACACTCATGGATGAAACTTTGAAATTATTTTATGTTCACTGCATTGGGTATGGTGAGGTTAGTTCTTGTACCTAATTGCATCATTTTATTATGTGACGTTTCGGAAATATTCAAGAAATATCATCTCCAGGAGCCCCCTTTCAGGGAGCCGTAGCTCCCTTGGGAGACATTTCTCGACTCATGTCCATTGGAACTTTTCTTCCTATTTTTGGTCGAAGAAGCCGCTGGTCGTGTTTGGCAGGCTAATTATGGGACACCCTGTATAACTGTCTCTCTGACACTCGCTGCTTAACTGCCTGACAGCAGTTGTTCGGCCGTTTATATATGAGATCACTTGGCAGGCTTTGGTTCGAGAAGGTTCTCGAATTATCTTCCGTCTCATTCTTTTTGTTCTAGAAGCTTCTTAGAACAATGCCTCTTTCTCTAATTGTTCCATCGATTGTTTCCAGAACATTCCAGAATCTTCTGTGACGTTATTTGTCACTGCGGCATATATTGAGTGTTCGGAAATATGCTGGTGTATGTAGGAATCATTGGGAGGTTGGAGAACAATCTGGGATGCGTGATACAGGATGATCGTTGTACTCCTGTCTTACTGATGATGTTTCTGAAGCTCCTCTAAGGGAAATATCATTACACTATCTTAACACTTTTACAATTTTACAAATCCCTCATATTGATAACGCAAAAAACTGTCGCAAATCTCACTTGGGGAAGAAGAAAAACGCTCACATGTAAGGCATTTCGGAAAATCACCGTTAGCAAACTCCGAGAAACACCCTGTGTGGTACTCACCAGAAATTCGCCGGCTCCATATAATCCACCTGTTGCAGCGACAAACTTGTCACCAGCACCTGACCGGACCGCGCCTGAAGATCCAGCCCGAAAGGACCGAAACCGTAGCACACGATCGAGATGAAGAGGACGAGGATTTGCACGGTGGTCACCCAGTAGGTGAACATCGGCCGGTGGTCTTCCATGTCATCGAGTTGCTCTTGTATAGTAGAGTCTTGCGTCACTGATTTCCTAATGGAACGGCTAAAAACAAGAAATAATAATGATAATAACATTCATTCCTCCCAAAAAACATACACGTTCATGGAGAAACACAAAGAGTAAGTGAACAAAATAGACACCGCGATTCATTCATGAATCATTGAAAAGTATACGCCAATAATTCAGAACGCCAAACACAAATAAATGAATGAAATCGCGAGTGGCGGGGATAATCACAGATACTTGTACATTTGCGGGTGAGTACTCATCAGACTTAATAACAATAGAGAGAAACCACGATCCATTCATAAATCATTGGAAAGTATACGCTATAACAATCCTAAACGTCAATCACGGATGAAATCGCGATTGGTGGGGATAACTATGCGGAATCATTACCCTGTAAGGCTGTTTTTTATTTGTTTTCTTCTACTGTGGCGAATAAAAGAGTTGTAGGGAGTGTCACGTGTCACTAGATTTATCAATAAATGGGATAAAGAGGACGAGGATCTACATAGTGGCCACCCAGTAGATGAAGTTGCTCTTATATAAAATAGTCTTGCGTAACTGATTTCCTAATGGAACGGCTCTAAAGAGGAAATAATAAAGATAATAACAATTACTGATCCCAAGAAACATACACGTTTATGGAGAAACACAAAAAAATCGAAAATTGATCAAATGGATGATGAACAGTCAAATCAGAATTGATCATAATAAGGAATCGGTACCTCAGAGTGAACAAAATAGACACCGCGATTCATTCATGAATCATTCAGAAGTATACGCCAATAATACCGAACGCTAATCATAGATGAATTAATGAAATCGCGAATGGTGGGAATAACTATGCGGAATCATTGCCCTACTGTGAGGCTGTTTTTTTATTGTCAAAAATAAAGGAATTATAGCGGATTCAAATTGTGAATTTTGGGAAGAAATATCCTCAGATATAATAATAAACATGAAAGAAAAAATTCATGAAGATACGTGATTGGGTATTCTCAATTCAGGATTTTTCCACGCCCTGAATGATGAACATCAATTCATCATACAACTGGCAGAGAGAATGTAATTGGCTCAGAATACCAAATAATAGATAGACACCGCAATTTATTAATGAACAATTGAAAAGTATGCCAAAAATCCTAATAGACAAAAACATTGTTCTAAAATTGTTCTATCCGTCATTCGGTTGCCCCCTTACGAGCAACCCTCAGAAGTCTTCGAGAGTCTGCAGTCGATGGGAATCGAACCCACGACCGGCAAGCGAATGCGGATTAGAATATTGACACTCTGTCCGCACGGCTACCTGGACCGACCAGGATGAATGAATGAAATCGCGAATGGTGGGGATAATATAATAACAGACACTTGTAGATTCCCGGGTGAGTGCTCAGACTGAATAACAATAATAAAATACAAGGAGCTTGAAGTCTTTTCGAAATTATGTTCAAAAAATGAACAACAATGGTAGATTTCGGGAGAAAAACAACTACTTTCCTGGCTAATGCCACGCAGAACATCTAATTACATCCTCTCGAAATCCATGCATCGACTCGTATGAACGAATAGTGACACAAGTGATTCTTTCCTGAAAGCTAATTGATTTCGATTTAGCCAGGCCACGCTAGACACTTACAGACCGGTTTCAAACTCTTTGACTTCCATCAGTGCAGGACAGTCTCCAGCCAGCAGTCCTAAGACCGCCGATTGAGCGTTGCCTAGCCAAACAAAAATCAAGTCGTCATTATATTCCCTCAGAGGTGTCTTTCATAGACAATATGAAAGCAACGCCATCTGAGTAGGATTTGAAGTGTTTCCTTCCTTCTTTTCTACTCAGATGGCGTTACTTCCATATTGTCTTAGGACTGCTGGCTGGAGACTGCCCTGCACTGATGAGAGTCAAAGAGCTCGAAACCTGTCTGTAGGTGTCTAGCGTGGCCTGGCTAGATCGAAATCAATTGTCATTCAGGAAATAATCACTAGTATCAGTATTCGTTTATACGAGTCGATGCATAGATTTCGCGAGGATGTAATTCAATGATCTGCGTGGCATTAGCCAGGAAAATAGTTGTTTTTCTCCCGAATTCTACCATTGTTGTTCATTTCATAAAAAATTTGTGGAAATGACTGAGCTTTTTGTATTTTCTTAACATGTCATTCCCCACTTTGAGCATTGTGGCTATTTAGTAGTTGAATAACAATAGATAGACACCGTGATTCATCCATAAATGAGCAGATAATATACGCCAACAATCTCAAACGCCAATCACGGATCAATGAATGAAATCGCGAATGGTGGGGATAATAAGAGACACCTGTACAGGGTGCGCCTCTTAAAATGGAATCTCCCCTCAACTCTTTCGTTTTCAGAGATATGTTAAAATGTTGAATGGAAAAGTTGTGACAAACGACCCAATCTTCCATTTCGAGAAGTTGTCATATACAGGGGCTTTCGTTTTTCCAGAAAGGCCATCAACTTTGATTTCTTCAATGGAAGATTCCATATAATTTACGACATGCCGATAGAGCCTTTTTTCTGATTTCAAAAATATACATGAGTTGCATATTTGGAAGAAAAAAAGTTGAGTTATTGATGATCAAAATTCACCATAATACCGCATTATGAACCTTCTCTTCATATCATCTAATGTAAGTAGTGGGCTTCGAAATAACGTTTTTTAATTGTTCAACCTCCATGGAAATGTCATAGTATTGTTTATTTTCAAATTGAAATCGTTCAATCGCAACACAAAAAAATATGAATAGACAATTTCAATGAAAGATGCGTTATTTTGGTAAACTTTGATAATCAGAAACTCAATTCTCTTTCATCAATCGACATGCCAGAAAATATATAAGGTGTTCCATTGGAAAAATCAAAGTTAATGTCCTTTCCGGAATAACGAATGACCCTGTTTATGAAGCAACTTCACCAAATGAAAGTTTGGGTCGTTTCAAACGACTTTTTTATTCAACAATTTTCCATATCTCTGAAAACGAAAGAGTTAAGGCGGGATTCCATTTTAAGAGGCGCGCCCTGTACATTTGCGGGTGACTTCTCAAACTAAATAACAATAGACATACACCTCATCCATGCATTCATAAAACATTAAGAAGCATATGCCAAGAATCCTCAAAAACGACAATAACGGATAAATGAATAAGATCGCGGATGATGGGGATAACAATACAAGATCATTGCCAGAGAAATGATATTTCATAAATAAATTGAAAATATTTAATGTTTAATAAACAGGAATTTTCATTTTCTCAAAGTATGGTGTGTATTATAGCTTGACTGATAAATACAAACTTCTAACAGTTGATCAACATGGTTTTACAAGAAAGCAATCTATTGAAACCGCTAGTTATGAAATGTTGAATGATGAATTCATCAAACAACTTGGTACAGGAAATCATGTTGGAACTAGATCAAAAAAGTTCTACCTCCTCAAAAACAAATCGCTCGAAAAACTTCCACTTTCCGCAACGTTGCCGAGCATCGAACATTTTCCGTACTCACCCGAACATTTTGCCGACCCACCCCATCCCGTACTGCCGCCTATCGGAATTGTCCAACACCCTGTCCAACCAGTTGGACAGCTTTCTCGAGCCACCCGCTCGCCTCAGGACGACATCGTCTTCTTCCTCTTCTTCTCGGCGCCATCCTCTGGTCACCGGCACGGCGTAACGCACCTTCAACAAATGATTGATTGATTGTCTTCATCACCCCCAAGAAACATCATTGTTTATAATCAATATTGATATCATAAAGAGGAAAGATTTGATTGTTGGTTTGTTTGTTTGTTTGTATGTATTGAATAGGCTCCGAAACTACTGAATCGATTTGGCTGGAAATTGGAGGTAGTTTAGAACCAGGAGGAGGTTATAGGATTTTTTATCCCGGTACCATTACCAAATTGAAGATGGCGGATCTAATATATCGGACGAATTTTGTAATTATGGTCCGATTCTATTCAAAATTGGTATATGGGTGTTTTCGAGGTGGAGATTATGATTCTTTTGTGAAAATTTGGAAAGAGCAAGATTTGGAAATTCAAGACGGTGGAACCAATATACAGGAACGAGTTTAATAACTATATACCGATTCTATTCAAAATTTGTAAGAGGGCGTTTTCGGGATCAGAAATTATGATTCCTACGTCGAAATTAGGAAATTCAAGACGGCAGATCAGATATTGTGGACGAGTTTTTCAATTATGTTCCGATTCTATTCAAAATTTCCATCTGGGGTTCCAGGAGTCGGATATTGTTACAGATAATCAAATATTTCAGTTTCAAACAGAAAGTCTTTATTCTTTTTCAAAATTGTGACTGACTCTGCCACATTGACAATAATGATCAAAATTCCCATATACAATGTGCACATAAACATTGATATTAATACGCCGTCACATTTCTCCCCGCAGTGAAGGAAGGTCTTCTTCTTCACTAGTCTCTTGTATACGACACAACTTACTAGTGGGTCTTCGGAAAGTAGAAGTGCTTGTTTTTATTTCTGCGACTCTTATCTTTCCATCTGGTCCTGGAAATACTTTTTGTACCTTTCCCAATCTCCAGGTGTTTCTTGGAATATTGTCATCCGCTATGACAACAATATCTCCAACTTTAATTGGTTTATTATCGTCTGTCCATTTGGAACGTTTATTCAGCCGGGGTAGATATTCCTTTATCCATCTACGCCAAAATATATCAGTCATCATCTGGGATTTCTTCCATTGTTCTCGTGATGTTGATCCTGAATCGGTTAAACATATTGGTTCATCCTGATTACCATATCCAACCAAGAAATGATTCGGGGTAAGTGCTTCAGGATCTGCAGCATCCACAGAAACATAGGTGAGAGGACGGGAGTTCACTATATTTTCCGCCTCTGCTAATAGCGTTGAGAGAATTTCATCACGAAGCGACTGATTATATAGAGCAAATCCGATAGTTCTCTTGACAGAACCAATCAGCCGCTCCCAAACGCCGGCCATGTGTGGAGCTGCAGGTGGTATGAATTGAAAGTCTATACCTTCTGAGGACATTGTATCGTACAAAGCCGATTTATTCAGTTCAGCAAGACATTTTTTCAATTCATCAGCGGCGCCACGGAGATTTGTTCCGTTGTCGCAAAATATTTTCAATGGTTTTCCTCTTCGCGCAATCATTCTTCTGATAGCCATTATAGTAGAGTCTGTGGTTAAACTATACGCAACTTCCAGATGAATAGCTCTGATCGCCATACAGGTGAACAGAACTCTCCATCTTTTCTCTCTTCGACGGCCCACACAAACTTGCAGTGGTCCAAAATAGTCCATGCCGACGTTCACGAACGCTCGAACATCTGGAGTCAACCGTACTTCTGGTAGTTGTCCCATTATGGGTACCGCAGGTTCTGCCTTAGATCTTCTGCACACCATATATCGGGTGAAAGTTGACTTCACTGCAGCTCGTCCATCAATGACCCAAAATCGTTGCCTCACGTCGTTCAGGATTGTCTCAATACCTTGATGACGGAACTTTTCATGGTAGTGTTGCAACAATAACTTCGTGTATGGGTCTTTCGAACTGAGAATATATGGTTTCTTCGCCCTGTATTCCATTTGAGTGGCCAAATTTAGTCTGCCATCTAAGATCAACAACCTATCTTTATCTAGGCATGCTGATAGTTGTTTCAAACGACTCATCCGATTTAAATGTCCATATCTCCTTAATGTTTCGATATCATCTTGAAAACTCTGCTCTTGAGATATGCCTATCAAGTATTTTTCCGCTTCAGTTATCTCTTGTACAATCAAATCTTTTGGAAATGCCATATCTTCTTTTCTTACTTTTTTCAACAATTTTTGTACATATCTTCTCACCCAAGCTGTTGTTCGGATCAGTCGAATCCACTTAGAAAATCTCTCTAGGTTGCTAATATTTTTACCATCGGTTGAAACTGCTACAAACTCTGCTTTCATTTCAGAAGAGTATTCTGGACCCAATTGATTACATAAAATTTCAATTTCTGATGGCCAAAATTCTTCAGGTTTTCTTAAGAACTCTGGACCATGAAACCAGTTTTGTAGAATAGTTTCGATTTTATCACTGAATTTGAGTCTTGTCCGAAAGCCCCCAGATACAAATTTTGCACAGAATCGGATCATAATCTCAAAATTTGTCTGCCATATTGGATCCGCCATCTTCAATTTCCAAATTTTGACGAAAGATTCGTACTCTCCAACTCCGGAAACTCCCAGATATCAATTTTGAATAGAATTGGATCATAATTTCAAAACTCGTCCGCCACATTGGATAAGCTATCTTGAATTTACAAATTTTTCCAAGAGAATCATAATCTCCGACTTCTAAAACCCCCAGATACCAGTTTTAAATAGAATCGAACAATTATTAAAAAACTCGTCCGCCATATTCGATCCGCCATTTTGAATTTCCCAATTTCGACGAAAAAAACATAATTTCCGATACTAATTTTGAACAAAATCGAACCATAATTACAAAACTTGTCCGCCATATTGGATTCGCCATCTTGAATTCCCAAATGTTGATGGGGAAATCATATTCTTCGTCCCCAAAAACCCCCAGATACCAAATTTGAATAACAAAACTTGTCAGCCATATTGGATCCGCCATGCATATAGAGATTTTTTTTTCTTTCTATGAAAAAAACGATAGAGAGTTGTTCGACAGGTCACATGAATGCTTTGTTTCGGAGATATACGATGTTGGAAGATTTTCTTATATTTTTCAAGTAACTTGCAGAAAATAATTTTTTTGCACGAAATTTGTTTTTCAGCACAAACAAAATTTGAAAAATGTTCCTTCCAAACGGGAGACCTTTGAAATTTTTGACAAATTGCACAGATTAGATTATTATCCTGTAGAATATCAGAATATCATTCTAAAGAGATGCAATAATCATTTTCCAAATTTTGAAATGTAATTTGAATCCAAAGAAGGAAGAAATCCAAAGGAGGCAGGAATCCAAAGAAGGCAGGAATCCAAAGTAGGAAGGAATCCAAGAAAAAAAGGAATACAAAGAAAGAAGGAATTCGAAGAAGGCAGGAATCCAAAGAAGGAAGAAATCTAACGAAGGCAGGAATCCAAAGACGGAAGGAATCCAAAGAAGGAAGGAATACAAAGAAGGTAGGAATTCAGGGAAGGAAGGAATCCAAAGAAAGAAGGAATACAAAGGAAGAAGGAATATTAAGAAGGAAGAAATTCAAAGAAGAAAGGAATCCAAGAAAAAAAGGAATACAAAGAAGGAAGGAATTCGAAGAAGGCAGGAATCCAAAGAAGGAAGAAATCTAACGAAGGCAGGAATCCAAAGACGGAAGGAATCCAAAGAAGGAAGGAATACAAAGAAGGTAGGAATTCAGGGAAGGAAGGAATCCAAAGAAAGAAGGAATACAAAGGAAGAAGGAATATTAAGAAGGAAGAAATTCAAAGAAGAAAGGAATCCAAGAAAAAAAGGAATACAAAGAAGGAAGGAATTCGAAGAAGGCAGGAATCCAAAGAAGGAAGAAATCTAACGAAGGCAGGAATCCAAAGACGGAAGGAATCCAAAGAAGGAAGGAATACAAAGAAGGTAGGAATTCAGGGAAGGAAGGAATCCAAAGAAAGAAGGAATACAAAGGAAGAAGGAATATTAAGAAGGAAGAAATTCAAAGAAGAAAGGAATCCAAGAAAAAAAGGAATACAAAGAAGGAAGGAATTCGAAGAAGGCAGGAATCCAAAGAAGGAAGAAATCTAACGAAGGCAGGAATCCAAAGACGGAAGGAATCCAAAGAAGGAAGGAATACAAAGAAGGTAGGAATTCAGGGAAGGAAGGAATCCAAAGAAAGAAGGAATACAAAGGAAGAAGGGATATTAAGATGGAAGAAATTCAAAGAAGAAAGGAATCCACAGAAGGAATGATACCAAAAGAAGAAAGGAATTCAAAGAAGGGAGCAATCCAAAGGAGGAAGGAATTCAAATTATGAAGAAATCCAAAGAAGGAAGGAATCCAAAGAAGAAAGGAATACAAAGGAGGAAGGAGTATAAAGAAGGAAGGAATTCAAAGAAGAAAGGAGTCCAAAGAAGAAAGGAATCCAAAGAAGGAAGGAATCCAAAGGCGGAAGGAATTCAAATTAAAAAGGAATCCAAAGAGGGAAGGAATACAAAGAAGGAAGGAATCCAGAGGAGGGAATTCGAATGAGAAACGAATCCAAAGAAGGAAGGAATACAAAGGAGGAAGGATCTCGAAGAGGAAATGATTCCAAAGAAGGAAAGAATCCAAAGAAGGCAGGAATACAAAGGAGGAAGGAATCTAAGGAAGGAAGGAATCCAAAGAAGGAAGAAATCCAAAGAAAGGAGGAATCCAAAGAAGGAAGAGAGGAAGGAATATAAAGAAGAAAGGAAAGAATACAAAGGAGGAAGGAAGGACGGGAGGAATACAAAGGAGAAAGGTAATAATACAGAGGAGAAAGGAAGGAATTGAATTGAATTGAATTTATTTAGTTCAGAAATATTACAATATTATGAAACACCTCAAAGTAAAAATAGGACAATGGTCAGATTAAAAAAGGACATTAGCCAAAGTAAAAATATGACAATAGTCAAAGTAAAATAGGACAATAGTCCAAGTATAAGTAAGTATGTAAAAATAAAATGAAAATATAAAATATCATATTGTACATGGGTTTACCTAGTTTTTGTTAAGATGTCTCTGTTTTTGAATAACTTGCAATATTCGTCAAATGAGTATATGCAGTTCTCTGCCAGAATGATTTTCAGTCTTATCGAAAATTTGGAAAATGATAGATCACGAAATTCGGTTGGTAATGCATTGTACCATTCAACACCTCTGTTTGTATGCCTACGTAATCTAGTGTATGGTTGCAATAGCATAGATTTGTTCCTTGTGTCATGTCTGTGGAAATCGGATTGTGATTGATAGTTGCTCATGATTTTTTTTACATGCAATAGGTTATGGTACAGAATGGTCGAAAATATGGTCATGATCTTTAGTTCCTCAAATATAGGTCTGCAGCTGACTTCCCAATTAACTTTCTTTTTCTACTCACATAACTAAAATGGCATTTAGCGTACGGATATGTACCACGCTAAATGATCGATTAATCACGGATTGTCGATCTGTGATTTATTCAAAATATTAAACACGTTACCATGGCAACACGATTTCTTAAACACATTACCATGGCAACGCAGTTCATTAAACACAGCTTCAGTAATGTGAGACATGTCTGGCCTGTCAATTGTATCAGCTGTCAACTGTTATTTTCGAATTTTGTATCAGAATTATTCAAACAATATTCGTTATTTGTATCAGAATTCATCATTGAAAATATATGCGAAAAGTAGACGAAAGTGAAACCGAAGAGAATGTTCTGGTACTTGCATATCTCCAAGAAGTGTAAAAATGGAGCATCCATCTTTGAGAACAATTTATTTATTCTGCGCTGAGCATGACAATAAACGTGAAACAATAAGGTTAGTAAGCAATGGACTGAACGACTGGACACATCTACAACCAATATCACTTAAATGCGTCTCGCTGGTTGCATGCAGTTGCATGTATTATGTTCTCAATTCCCATTCTTTTCGAATTATTTTGTAGGTTAGCAGGAATTGCAGGTATGTTAATGTTATTTTCGGAGTTCGTAGAAAAATCATAGTATGTAACGCGTTTATAAACTCTTCTAGACACTCGTTTATTAAACACTCGCTCCGCTCGTGCTTAAACTACTCGTTACTAAAAGGACGTTTATAACACTTGTTACATAATATACTATTATACCGCGTAATGCAGCTTTTTGAATAATTAAAATTCTTAGTAAATAGCAATTTGATGCATTGCCCCATATTAGGGCTCCATATGTTAATACAGAGTGGAAGAGTGCAAAATATGTTGTGCGTGCAGCTGATTCGCCCAGTGAATAACACATTTTCCTGATAGCGTACACTGTTCTTGAAAGTTTTCCACACAATATATTTATGTGTTCCGACCATTGCAACTTCGTATCTAATACAACTCCCAGAAAATTGACATGGTCGTTTGAATTTTCAGATATAACATTTTCAAAAGTTTGACTTTGACTTTTACTTCCATTTAGTAGCATATCATTGTGCTCGAACCAAGCCCTAGCCTTCTCCAAGATAAGTGAAAGAACAAGTGCATTATCTTCTTCTTTTCCCAATTCAATGCCAAACGTTGTATCGTCCGCATACATAATGGTTGATGCGTTTATAAAATTCATAGTATAAGGGAGATCATTTATGTAAATCAGGAACAGGAGGGGACCCAAAACTGATCCTTGCGGTACTCCTCTATTCACAGTAGCTATATCACTTCGTTCTTCGCCATTTACTACGATTTGCTTTCTTTCATGTAAGTATGACTTCAATATGTCTAGTGCTTTACCACGTATTCCGTAGAAATTGAGTTTTTCCAGTAATATATTGTGATTCACACGGTCAAAAGCAGATGTCAGATCCGTAAAAACAGTCAAATATTTTATACTGTCATTGAAGGCTTTTTTTATAGAAGTAGAAAAGGAAAAATAGAAAGACAGCAAGAAAATGGATGAATGAAAAAAAAACGAACTCACCCTGTCCCGTTCCCTGCGCACGGGTTCCACCACCCTCGCCCTGTCCACAGTGTCGCCCTCTGGCGGCGACGCAGGCACCGATGGCGGCCGCTCGAAGAACGACTGCTCCTCGGCCGCCGTCGCCGGCAGTTCGGGCGTTTCCGGCGAGTGGAAGCTGCGCGACCATTGCGACTGCTGCGATCGCGGTCTCGGTCTGTGTCGGGATAGGGTCTGCGAGAGAGAAGAGAGACAGAGGAACTTAGTAACTGTAGACCAATGAACTGCATGTAAACAACTGGAAGGGACCCACTGTGAACGACGAGTGAGGCAAAAATATTTTTCAGGCAACCCGCAGTGTTTACGGATACCTATCTCTCTCTATCTTGTGTTGGCTAATGGGAAGCGCTCGCATAATTTGAAATATTTTCTCGTTTTTTGCTTCTATTTAAGAGTAAACGTGATCAAATAAAGATATTCATTTAGGAAAAAGGATAATGTTGTAATCAATTATCATTAAAAAATTATTACTGATTTTTTTATTGACTTTAAAATGAAATTTCAATATTACTCTTACAGGATCAGGAAGTCAAATGAATACAAAATTGAAATTATATATTTTCATTCAAATTTCACAATATATTGTACAGGGTGAGCGAAGCACAATGTCTCAGAACTATCAGAAGGAAAAGAAAAACGATAGGAACAATTTGAAAAGAGGTTCTTGAATGGTATTGATGAGTGCATTTTGAGCATAATTTCCATAGGTTACCATTCCTCTATTAGGTCACTCATTAATTGTCATTACTATACCCACTGTTGGAAATTGATTGAACTACTTATTCTTTCATGTTTGAAATTTTTAGGTATCTCCTTTTTACTTTTTGTCTCAGTGCGTTCACTTTTCTCCTCAATACAATATCCTTCTCTAATGAAACAGTTTGAATTTCTTTATTGATCAACTTCGAAACTTGGGAGCTGGAAGTGGTAGGCAAGTCAAAGTCAATAACATGGGAAACTTCTTCCTTTGGACCCAAGTTATGAACGTCCACAGATGCATCCTGAAAACAAATTACTAGCTAGTTTTTTCATTTTAAATAGGTGCAAACATTTTTTTTTTTCATTATTAATCAACTAGGTACCTGTGAGTTTTCTTATTTTCCTGGGGGAATCAGCATTTTTTGGTAACAAATGCTGAGGAAATGAAAATATACTGGGTACAGCATCTGCTTTCAAAAACCTAGCAGTACCTGGTATGCCTGAATGATCTGTTGGCAGGAAATGCTCCCCACAAAGCTTGCTGCTTTAAGTTGGAGTCCAATTCTCACTAGGAACTGCCTTTATCCATAATTCGAGAATGTCTGGTCTTTTGAATGGAAAACTGCAATATATATATATTACTCAACATCAATATGGAAGTATTTAACTTTGACAAATAATATAGGTATAGTTTTTGAACATATTCTGAGACTGGACATTATAAACCTAACTGATGATCATTTCATGAACTATATTTTTCAAATATCTGAGAACAATATTCAACTTACCCATGGAATGCTAATTTCCTTTTGTTTTGTTCATTCTTCTTGCATCCAAAGGCGACACAATAAATCACCATTGTTCATCAATACTAATCACAAACCTTCTCAACAATCAGTTCAGTGTTCACAACAACAAATTCAGTCCTTTTGTTACAACAAAACACGCCAAATGAATAGATATTTCACCTCGTATTTCACATGAACTAAGACAATGAACTTATGTCTTCACTTTCTTGCCTGTGTAGATGACAAAAAAAAATCTTTACTATTTTAATTATTAGATAAAAGAAAATTTATACACCAATCCACCATTAAACAACACGAGTTGGAAGAGGACAGGTATCCGTAAATCATGCTATCTTTGTTGCAGCTGCCCCTGACACACTTTGTGCTATTCGAGAGAACGATCGTATCCCTTCCAGTTGTATTGAGTTCATTGCTGTAGACCAAATCATCATCATCTTCAGACAATTTACATTGTATTGGTACAGTCATTTTGAAATACAGGGTGTTGAAAAAAAACCTGACTCCCTTACTAGAGTAGGTAGAACACTGCGAAATGAGTTGGGTTCACTCAGTAAAAAAATTTCGTAACGGCATCCGTTATCAAGATACAAGGTGTTGAAAATATTATTTTTTTACACATTTTTCGAGATTATGTCGAAACTACTGGCACCATTGTGATGAAATTTTGAATGGATGTATCTTAGAGTCTGACACATCGCATGCATTTGTTTCAATATCTGATTCTCATAGAGGGCGCTAGTTACAGGGTTCGTACCGGGTATTTTTGAACATAACTTTTTTGAGGTTAGTTTTTTTCAATCCTAATTTGACACCAACCGAAGCCTCAATTCGACAGTTTAATCTCACGGGGACTGCCAAGGGAGGAACACTTATATCTATAAAATAGAGCCAGATCGCCAAGTTTTCTACGGTGTTCCAGAGAAGTGAGTGAGTTTGTGAGCGAGGCATCACCCACGAGACGAATTGCCCTTTTCCGGACAGAATCCAACAGTTTCAGGTCGGATCTGTGCCTTATAAATCATAAGGAGATGGCTGGTGAAGTAAAATAGTTCCTGGCCCGAAACAGAATGCACTTTTAGCAATTGATCTCGCGTGATTTTCCCAAGAAAGGTTATTGCTGATAGTAATCCCAAGCATCGAAATGGATGTCTTCAAAGGTATGGTTACTCCTGAAAAGCTCATGTTATGCACAGTGAGATCGGCTTTGCTAGAGAAAAGGCATGCTTGTGTTTTGTTTGCATTGAAATCTACCAAGTTATTGGATTCTCATTCGAGAATTGTTGCCAAGTCCATATTTATGTTGTCAACATTCCGCCCTCGTTCGTTTCTGCGGTACGGAGGGTACTATCATCCGCGAAGCTGTGTAATGGACATGAAGTTGCTTCCAACAAATCGTTGATATGGAGTAGAAATAGTGTTGGTGCAAGAATCGATCCTTGCGGATCGATTCGCCCAATCTTCGATTTACTCAACTTACTCAATAACTGTAGACTGAATAACAATATAGATAAACACCGCGATTCATGTAAAAATCACGAAAAAGTATACACTAACAATCCTAAACGTCGCCAAACACGAAAAAAGTAATGAAATCACGAATGGTGGGTAAAACTTTGCGGAATTGTTGCCACAGAATTGATATTTCTGAGTAATAACTTGAAATTATGTCTAAGTATCAATTCAATAAAATTAATACGTAGACATGAATTTAAGTTATTACTCAGGAATTCTACGACTTTTCAAGCGGATAAAAACAATCCGAGAGAAATCCCAATCCCATTCAATCCCAAGTACACAAGAGGAGGAAGGTTTTCAAAATCTCAGATTTTGAAAGCGTTTATCAGTCTGGGTCAAACTTAGACCACTTATTGGGTAATCCAAAAGATAAGGTGGAAACACTTGAAAAGTGAGGAATATATGAAATTAGTTGTAATGATTGTAATTAGACAGATATGGGCCAAACCAGGCGTTCCATAAAAACAAGGTTCGAAGAACACTTAGCACATTTGAAATATGGTAGGTTAGATGAATCGTGTGTATCCGAACACATGTTCAATCACAGTTATAACACACATATTAATAACTTCAAATTAGTTAATGATGTTAGAAAATTAGATGCATATAAAAGCTTACAGATATTCAAAAATAGAGATGGAGTAATGACCCTAATAGCACACAACGTCCTAGGGACGTCCCTATTTGGTACAATTCACGTCCGAATGTCCCGAACCAAAAATAGGTGTCCTTGGGACGTCCCATCCCGTACATCTCATGCAATGTTCGAGCAAGGACGTCCACGGAATGTTCCAGTTGGTACATTATTCCGAATGTCTTAGAAATAGCATCCCTTAGACGTCCCTTATAGTACATATTGTAGAATGTCCTAGAAATAACGTCCTATGGACGTCCCAGTCGGTACTTTCAATATGTTGTCCCTGCGAGGACGTTTACTTACACCTCGCCGACGAATGATTGCTCGTAGGCTATAAGTACTCCTTTTCAATGTCCTTCACGTAAGTCCATTGGACATCCGTGGGAAACTTTTTGGGGACCGTCTACGGACCATCAACTCAACTGGATGTCCTGATCAGTTATGCAAGATCTGGTTCTAAAAGGACCCGGAAAAATTCAAATTCAAGAATAATTCGTACGTCCCTGGGACATCCTATGGACATACAATTGATATCCCTCAGCGTTGCTGATAGGTTGTCCTATGGATGCCCTAAGGATCTCCTCTGTAGTGCTTGATGAGGAAAACTGTAGGATTTAGGTATTCGATAGTCGTCCCAGGGACATCCCTCAAGGACGTCCCTAGTTGGTCCTCAAGTGGGACATTTGTGCGTCTCACAGACGTCCAATGGACGTTCACGGTACAAAATTCGAGCGTCCCATGGACGTCCTGAATGTCCCGAAAGGACCACTAGGATAGAGCATTTAGTTTTAATCTTCTCCTGAAGATGCTAACATAGTTAGCGAAACACGTGCCTAGGTGTATAAAATCGGTTTGGGTAGTGGTAAAACAGTTTGTAGTGTATTATCGTGCCAAAAAGGTTCCAGTCTTCGATATACACGCTGATTCACGATGGAAGGCGTTTCTGGAGAACTTAACTTGGGATTATTCTGAAAATTTGATGCCTTGGATGATTAGTTGTGCTCTATCGACCTAAAATTTTCTCAGCGCTGCGACGTTGCCGCTTATATTGAAAAGTAGCAACAACTTTGATTCTCTGAATGAGGCACTCTGTATATTATTCCATTTCCAGATTTTTCCGGAAGAGCTGATTTCATTGACCTATAACACTTGGGGTCTAGCAGTAACAATTACAGAGATATAGGGTGTGAAAAATATTTTTTTAAAATTATTTTGTGTCGAAACTAGAATGGCTTTCATGTCCCTATCTCAACTTTTCATTTACTATCGATTGATATTTAATTGAAATAGGTACAGGGTGGTTCATAATTAAGATGTTCAACCACCCTGTATCTATTTCAATTGTATATAAATTGAAAGGACATGAAAGGTTGAGATAGGGACATGAAAACCGTTTCGACTAGTTATAAATAGTTTTGACACAAGAAATTCATGAAGTTGAAAAATCTCGATTGTTCACACCCTATATCTTCGTTATCATTCCCGCTAAACCCCAAGTGTGATAGATCGATGAA